TTAGGTCCTAGAGGAGTATCTGGGGTTCCGGACGGGTACCTTAGGTCTCTGAAGACTCTGGCTGGTTCCAGAGGTACTAAGCGTATACCAGAAGTCTCCCACAAACGATGCCACGCAAAAATATGTTGTGAAGTATTTTAAAGCTTTCTAGAGGGTTTTTTGGTTTTCGTTAAATATCTCAGGACCACTTGCTCTTTTTGGACTTTTGACATCACTATCGAATTTCTCTCGTCGAGACCTTTTAAACGAGTATAAGGTTGATAGGGTTCTCAAGCCTAGGAAAGAAGATAGGCTAAGGGACCTCGAAACCCGATCAACCTTATACTCGTTTGAAAGGTCTCGACGAAAGAAATTCGATAGTGATGTCAAAAGTCCATAAAGAGCAAGTGGTCCTGAGATATTTAATGAAAACCCCAAAACCGTTTAGAAACCTTTAAAATTCTCCACAACATCTTTTTGCGTCGCATCGTTCGTGGAAGTCTTCTGGTATACACTTAGTACCTCTGGAACCAGCCAGAGACTTCAGACACATTAGGTAGCCCTCTGGAACCCCGGGGACACATATGGAACCCGAGATACCAACCTGAGTCCTCAGGGACCTGAGGTACTCGCCTGGGACCTCAGGGTACCTTCCGGGACCTTGCTGTGCCGCCCCGACCCCCGGGGTCCTGAGGTAACCGTCTCGGACCTCAGGTCCCCGTCTGGGACCTGCGGTCCCAGCCTAGGGCCTCAGGGACCTGAGGTACTCGCCTGGGACCTCAGGGGACCCTCCGGGACCTTACTGTGCCTCCTCAACGCCTGGGGACCTGAGGTAACCGTCTCGGACCTCAGGTCCCAGCATAGGCCCTCAGGGACCAGAGGTACTCGCCTGGGACCTCAGGGGACCTTCCGGGACCTTACTGTGCCGCCCCAACCCCCGGGGACCTGAGGTAACCGTCTCGGACCTCAGGTCCCAGAGGCGGACCTGAGGTCCCAGCCTAGGCCCTCAGGGACCTGAGGTACTCGCCTGGGACCTCAGGGGACCGTCTTGGACCTTACTATGCCGCCCCAACCTCCGGGGACCTGAGGTAACCGTCTCAGACCTCAGGTCCGCCTCCGGGACCTGAGGTCCCAGCCTAGGGCCTCAGGGACCTGAGGTACTCGCCTAGGGCCCCAGGGGACCCTCTGGGACCTTACTGTGCCGCCCCAACCCCTGGGGACCTGAGGTAACCGTCTCGGACCTCAGGTCCGCCTCTGGGACCTGAGGTCCCAGCCTAGGGACCTGAGGTACCGGCCTAGGCCCTCAGGGACCTGAGGTACTCGCCTGGGACCTCAGGTCCGCCTCTGGGACCTGAGGTCCCAGCCTAGGCCCTCAGGGACCTGTGGTACTCGCCTGGGACCTCAGGGGACCCTCCGGGACCTTACTGTGCCGCCCCAACCCCCGGGGACCTGAGGTAACCGTCTCGGACCTCTGGTCCGCCTCACGGACCTCAGGTCCGCCTCTGGGACCTGAGGTCCCAGCCTAGGGCCTCAGGGACCTGAGGTACTCGCCTAGGGCCCCAGGGGACCCTCTGGGACCTTACTGTGCCGCCCCAACCTCCGGGGACCTGAGGTAACCGTCTCGGACCTCAGGTCCGCCTCTGGGACCTGAGGTCCCAGCCTAGGCCCTCAGGGACCTGAGGTACTCGCCTGGGACCTCAGGGGACCCTCTGGGACCTTACTGTGCCGCCCCAACCTCCGGGGACCTGAGGTAACCGTTTTGGACCTCAGGTCCCCCTCTGGGACCTGAGGTCCCAGCCTAGGCCCTCGTGGACCTGAGGGACCCGCCGGTGGCCTCGGGGACTCTATCTGGTACGTCCTGGTCTCGAAACCGTCGTCGGGGAGCCGGTGGAAACATCCTGGGCCAGCCTGAGTCGTCCTTGATTGGACGTGACGCCGTCCTTGAATACTGGTCGTCGGTTTTCCAAGGACGACCCTTGAAAACAGCCATTTTCCGGAATATTTCAAGGATCGCGTGCTTGAATCGGTGTTCTGGTCCTTGAAACCGAGATTTTATCCTTGAAAACCTAATTTTGTCCTTGATTATCAAGGAAGCGGATTTACCGTGAAGTTACGTATGTAACGTTACAACGTAACAAATCAAATAGTTTTTGTATTACAGTACGAGGAACGTAACGTGAAACTTTTTTTTGTAACGACAACTTTCTTAAGTTACGGGTCCCTGATTTTTTTCCGTATGATTGGTCGATTACACGCTATGGATGTTGTTACTGTATGTGCTCCACCCTTCAGTGCGCCGTTGATCGGTCGGACCCCGCATCGTTCGGACATCGCTATGATAGATAGCAAGGACGAAGGCTCGCGGCCGGCCGGCCAACACGTGTGTCCCCAAACATGATAAGCCACTCTATGCCGACGAGGACCGTATCATTTTACCGGCATATAGCACTTACAGGTGCCGATAATCTCAACACTGCTGGAAGTTGATACGACGACACGACACTGCTACAACTATATCGCCAACAATTTACGAGGAATTTTCTATTTTCAAGGTATATTTAAAACGAGGGCATAGGACAAGGCCTTAAATAATAAAACGTATGCAGGGTCGGTTTCTTTCTTTCAGACTCTGTAATATATGTCCGTAAGTTCTAGATTTGTGAAAAAAATGCATTACTCTATCTATCTACAAATCTATGTTTGCAATGCGGCTGGCATGCCCATATGTGAAGCTTGCACAAAATTCACTGTAACTTACAGATAGAGCATCCATAAGGAAATATTTCAAGATTTGTTGACCTTCTCTCGTTATTTAAAGACGGATGTTTTCAAATGTTTACATGATGTGAGTTTGTTTTCCCAGAATATTGCCGATTCTAACAGAAAATTTATGATATACTTATGCGTACACATCTGCATATAGGTTGTTACTGAAATATGCTTTCATTTCATGTTGCAAACAGAGGGGGAAAACATTTTGCCTGGGTGGCAGTGCCGGCTGGTGACTTATTACTTACTCCGATTCGAGCGGTTTCATCTCAAGCCAAGTCAATGTCGTGGCGTGGCAGGCGGCGCGGAGCGGGGCCGGGCGGGGGCAGTGCACTCCCTCATGCACACACGGCGTGTCACACGCCCCCCGGAGGCCCCTCAGAGGCCTGTGCCGCTAAACCCGAGGACACCCAGTCGGGTTAAGTCGCACCGACCGGCAGCGGGGACGTCCGCAAATACGGAGCACGGATGGAGGGAAGTCCTGCACTGCCTCCACGTGGAGGGGGCGTCCTAAAATGTACCGGACAGAGCAGCTGCGTCACTACTTCTCGGGGACCTCATCAAATGTTGAGGATTCACCAACGAAACGATATTCTTTGTATCCGTCATGCACCAAGCGACCATGCGCTGCCAAATCAGTAGGGCACGAGTACGCGGGGATAGGACGCGCTTAGTCAAAAAAAGAAATTTCGCAATTTTTCGCATCCTGCTCCCTTGACCTGCCCTAACCCAAAGGGGACCTTGCCCTGCCATATTCGCATGGGCGGCCCTGTTTGTTTTAGCACTGCGCGGCCGGGTCCGGGCTGCGTCCAACCGGCCCATATTCTGTCGCTCTCCCTCCCCCGTCCGACCCGCTCTCCTCGTCTCTCCCGCACATGCGGGGCCGCACGTGGGGACGGCGAGGTGCTTTTGTCTGAGGCCCGAGCCGCCCGCGACCAGCGGGAGGTCCTGGTTGACGCCCCGGTGTGCCACGTCCTCGGGTCGGGAGAGGGGTCGTGAGGGTGGCGAATAATGGAAGGAGAACACAAAACGCTTTTCAAAAGTCGCGCACTGCTCCGCCCTTGGGACTATTCCGTGATGCGAATTTATCCGCGGGGAAACAATCGGACGGCGATTAAACGTCCTGCACGACTAAACTCGACAAACAAAAGTGTGTGCGTTTGCTACATTTACATGTTTACATAATAAGTAGTAACCCTCATCACACAAGTGTGGTGGGCGTGCGGCCAGCCTTGCCCCAGTATAGTGTAAAGCAAGCCGCCCCGTCACACAGGCGTGTCGACCAGGTGGCCTACCCCATCCCTGTGCGCCTGCGATCT